TGTCTTTACGTTCCTGTCATTGTTGGAGATCAGCATAAGTGTCATAAAATTAGAATTTTCAGTTGAATCACTTCTTGTTCACGGATGAAGGAGAGCAAAGTTCGTCTAGCCCATTCTTCAGAGCAGCCTCTTATGTATCACACTCATCTAGATATGTTATGAAGTGAGTAAATATTACGTTGCAATCATCTTTCAATTAGTTTGGAGGAATGTTAAAATACATGATATTTTATTCAATGACTGGTTTTATTTGATTGTATTTTATATTCGGTTGCAGCAGTGAAGGTTCTAATTGTTCAGGAAACGTACCAGTGGGGTGCGAGAGTTTCACAAAACAGCATACGACGCAACGATAGCTTTGTCACCGTGGTGTATTAACGCATCTCCACTTCGTTTGTTGATTTTCGCAATGCCTTGCTCGTTGCCATTGTTGCTACCCGTAACCAGTGTCTTCTACGAACAGCAACTAAAACTTCGTTCGAGGCAGACAAGGGAACTTTTACACAACAGACTTGCACGACGTTATCATAACCTACTTGCGTTTTGAGTAACCAGCGAGAGTATTAATGTAATAAAAGTATTTTCACTTTTCTGGCGTACCAAGACCAACACTCTACAGTATGTTGCAAAGATACATTGAATTCGAATACGCGCAAGTCACTGCTGTGCTGAATATTTCAACAGTCAATATTTCAGCCATCGGAAAATATCTGGCAATGAATATTGTTGGATTTCAAAACGACTACAGAATCAGTACTTTCATCATCGATCTCCTGCACTTGTCCAGCGCACCGTCGCAACTCTGCGCAGAACGAGGTATATGATAAAGTAAATTTTGACACTATATGCCGCTGCCTGCCGAATGGTACTACTTCTTATATGACCAAATCTAAGGTATATGTTCACTGTTACCAGGTACGACTGCGCAATATTTCATTATCCCTAGATATATTAAATTAAACGCAATAAATTACAAACATTCTATTTACCGACATTTTGCATCTGTTTGCAAATACGAACAGAAATACGTTTCGCCTTATAACTTCCGGCTATTCGGTCATATATGGATGGCGAATCGTCGAAAACAGTAGTTTATTCATAAACGCACTTTAAACGCCTTCTGTTATAGCAGCTTTCTCCGCAACAAGCGGCAAGGTGATCCGACGCACACTTGGGTACCACTTTCCCTTCGCAGCACATCTGCGTCCTCCGGTCATAGCAACGA